CCATGCGGCTGCCTGTCGTCTAGCCGAATCAACGTCTCGCTCCGCTTGCTGTGTGCTGGCCTTGGCGGCCTCTAGCTGGCGTGAGAGTTCCTGAATGACCTGCGCCTGATCGGTGGATTCCTTTATGGTCTGATTCAACTTTTGAGTGAGCTGATTGAACTAAAAAAGCCAATTAATGAGTTTGCGTGACAGAGTTTGAATGAGTAAAAAAGGAAGACGGTAGAGCGTTAAACTTCTGATCAAAAGGTCGTGGGTTTGAGCCGCGGGTAGGGCACCACTCGCAGTTTGGTGTGACCGGTTGATGACGGCTAATGAGTCAAAAATGGCCATTCTAATCTCCCTTGTTTCTGCTGGCAATGCTACCTGAAAAAGATGTTCTACCAAACAGCTGCGGGTGTCCGTCTTTTTGTACCAAATATTTGCCTCTATATGCCCTTCTGGAGCTATACAGAGTAGAGAATGATTATAATTATCCTCCTTATTAAAAGGAGACCTTCGCTACATTTCAGTGAGGCTAAGGTTCAGGTTGTTGTTAACGTTAGCAGGGTTTGGTTTGGTGATCGGATGACTGGTTGTAGGGCTCGGGGTACTAGGGCAAACCCATTAAATGTAGCTATCCACAGTACGTGGAGACTTCTAATCCTGTTCAACTCTAAGTAGCACTGCACAACCCTTAAGCCAATTTGCCATGTTCAACCATTTGGTACGGAGGGTAGGAGCCGCTATTGAACTTATTGTATAGTGCTGCCGTCTTCCGACCATGAATCTGGAAATTCATGGCAGTAAAATCGCACTTAGGTAACTTGATTTCTAACCTTTTCTTCCGGACATATCTAAGCAGCGAGATGAATAGCAGGGCAGTCATACGGAGGATGGGCCTTCGATATCTGCGTCTGTTACGGCATCGCGGAGTAAGATTGGCTAGCATTTACCATAGTGGTTACCAACACCAGCGATTAGGAGTACATTTTGAGCGTCTGAGTGGCCTACGACTCTATTATTTCTATTTGCTATGCCTTCAGATCCTCTCAATTGTCAGGTATGTTATGGCATAATAGCAAAATATTGCATCCCATGCCAGCCTACTACCGCTACATGCTTGTGTTTGCGATAGTTGGTTTGAGTATCAGTTAGAAAAGTTGACAGAATACAGCACCTGTTGAAGCAATCCATTGCTCATCTGCTCAACTACCTTTTCTGTGTCGTGTTTTGGATGGTTTCGAGAATTTAACATGAACGTAGAAGGGCCACTTGGAATTTTCTCTAGTAAGGTTTAACCGTCTCCGTTTTCCTACTGAGGGCATGAGCGTGTCCGCTTTCATGATTAGAAAGAAAGTAGAAGAGCCGAACTGGACCCGAGTAGGTCTTCGTGTAGCAAATTACACGAACGTCGGAGTTCCCTCTGCTTCTGTTCCTACTAACCTGTGTCTCTCTGAGATTCAGCTCCTTCTTTACGGTTTCCAGTTCGTAGCTGAGCCGTTGTTGTTGATTCCTTTCAAGAGTTGCCTGTTCTTCCTGAAGACAGAAAGATAGTCATTAAATGGCAAGGTTTATTTTTCATTTTCTCTGAATCAGTATAGGCCTTCAAGGGCGCATAAGACAATCATAGATGTTGACAAACCCAGAACTCATCCTCTTAACCAACAAAACCGAAATATCTTGATGCCACATGAGACACGTCCTATTTCAGCGCCCTCCAGAGACACACACACACGCACGGATCTGGAATTGGCTGCCTGTTAAGATTCCAGACTGCCATCAAGTTTGTGCACAAAATAAACGGCCCAAATTGGGGTCTTTAATCGTCTCCTCCTAACTAGTACTGGCAATTGAATGGGGGATTTAGTCAAGTTTGTAGTGACCTTTGCCGGGCGCAACTCTCGCCCCTCGTGGCTGCTAGCACTTGCGCACGCATCAGTATCTGCTTACTTCAATGCCGTCTATGATAACTTCCACGCTCGCTGACACTCTCACGTCTGGTCGTACGCTCGTGTGACTGTCAACGTCCTCCAACCCATTCTTTACTGTCTCTGTGCAGAATATACTGTTCCTCCCAGCTGGCGTGCCACGTCTTTTTTTCCCACACAGAACCGGATATGCAGATCGCAGCAGCAAGGGTTTGCCCCATTAACTTAATGGACTGCGATACGTTTACTACCAAAGGCCCTACATGCTTATGTAAACGAAGGAGGCTCCTGTTTGGTAAATGGGAAGATAAATGGTCTCCTTCCTACCGTAAACAAAAGCCCAGCAAATGATTCTACAGATGGTCGGTTACCCAAATGTCTAGAGAACAACAGTAATTTTTAGGTACCTGCCAACTCCGAGTTGTCATAGATCAATTTATTAAATCAATATTTATGCAGTGGCATGCCACCAAATGAAAATTTAAAGTACGATAATTCTTCTAGGTAATGAAACAGTTTATCTTGTACATGTCCGATACCGGTCCTTTAGCTCGTTGTCAGACGTACGACAAAAATGCGGCGAAGTTTCTAAAGAAGGATCTTCGGTTTCTCTCAAATAGGATTATTCCATTGCGCTCAAGTCATCTTCAAACTTTCATAATGGTCTTTTTATCCTCTAAACGATATTTCTGATAAGAAAAATGCATTCAAGATCGCAGTCCGATACAAAGGACAAGCCATTGAGTCATTTAATTTTGTCAAGACCAAACCTGTGAGTCCAACGAGTCGAGTCGTTTGGTCGCCTCTGCTAGTCTCCGTTCCGTGTCTGAGCACTTTTCTTGAGCATTCTTCAGCTGATTTGTCAATTTTTCGATCTGGTCAGTGCGAAGAAAATACACAAGAGTATGTGAGATGCAAACAGACAATGCGTTCTATTGATATCACGGGCTGGTGTGCAATCCACTTACTACGAACTATCACAGGTGAAATAATCTATGGTGAAAGCACAAATTAAAATGTTTATCGACAAATGCAAAGTAAACTAGAATAGCCATTTCTGTGCTAGACTTCGCCGACGTCAATAATGTTGAGAATAGTTTCCTACTCACTGGTCCGTCACAGTGTGCTCGGCCTACTACTTGGACTTATACTTAGTTAGAGTTGGCATATTTGTCTTCCTGTCAGACCTCACCAACGTCAATGATGTTTTGACTTGTTCCCTACTCACGCTTGCCGACTTATAACATAGAAAATAGAGAGCTCGGCGCATTCTTTTTCTCTCTTCCAGTACCGAAGAGTGGATACAGAAAGTCTAGAAACTACTATGCGTGATTTAACGAGTTATATCTAGCAAGGTCTACAGTTGACCTAGCTTTTGATGTCCCCAGGCAAATGGCGCAGAAGTTTTAGGGTAATAATACCAAGGTTGTCAGGCGAACGTCGAAGACTGTACCTGAAACACCTCCCCGTTCCTTTTTCGATAGCCTGAAAGATTCTCAGGATGCTGTAGCGAGTTCAAATTATATCAGTCGAAACCCAGTCATTGTACTTCACCCCAAGGGATGCTGGTCAAACACCACTAATTGACGTTTACCTTTTATCTGCGCAGCCTAGCATTCATAATCGTATAGAAATGGCAGAACAGATGATTGGTACCCACAGATTTCTGTGGCGCTATATTTATCGCGTCGGATCCCCAGAAAACTTACAATCGCTCTGGCAACCCTGCGAGCAGCATTGATTATCGAGACGGTGATGTGCTTGCTCTGTCCTAGCCCCAAAATATGTAAAATGTAGGCGTTTTTTTTTTAATTTGACAGCCACTAGTCCCTCGGTCTAATACCTCTTCACCTGCATTGCTTTCACTTCATAATGTGTGGCGGAATAATTCGAGCAGGCTCAAACCGCGAACTACCTCACATGCCTAATCCCGGCTATTCAGGAGAGAGAGAGGTGAAAGAGAGATCATTTTGTCCGCATTGTGATTTTGAGGCTGCATTCACCACAAAAAACCTTTAGCCCCCGGCGGGTTAATGGTCACAGAGTCATAACTCTTGGGTGAAAAAGCCATCCGATAAGGTAGTCAACACATTTTGGGGAGGTGGGGGGGGGAGTGTGAGGCAAACTTTATCACCACAATCGGCTGGGAGAGCGCGCGACAAACGTGGAACGCATGCAGAGAATCTGCGCAATCATCGGCAGGAAGGCCTCGCACACGCGCGTGCATGTGGGTGGGTGGATGCGGGTGATGACAGACCAGGGTTCGGCAACCGAGAGACTCTAGAGCAGCAGCAGCCAGTGAGCAGAAATGCCTGATCATAAATCTGCGCCGGTGGCTCGTGCAGATGCGGACTTCAAAGCAGTGCTGACACCAGTGGATGGTATGGCGAGAGGGGTGGGGGTTGAGGTGGGAGAGGGCGAGCGACCGAGTATGCGTAACCGCACTCGATCAGTTAATGCGGTGAGGTAGAGCGAATGGCTCTTCCCAGCTGGCGACGCAGTACGGTCGGCATGTGAGAAACCTCGGGCGCATGACAAATTACCGGCAAACACGTGTCGATAGCATTTTGTGCTTAGATCTGGTTTCAGTACAGTGCATACGCATGCGGATGGCTCGCTCATAGGGCAGGCGAGACAGCTCGTAGCAATGTCACCAGGATAGCCTTTTACGTGAAAAAGCCGTCTTTCTGCCGTTTGGTAGCCTTTTCATCTTAGTAAGCCAATAAAAACTAGCCCGTTGTCTTTGTGGAGTTAGTAGATGGATGTTTCCCCAACCTTTGGCCACGTGAACGTTAACGGGACATGAAGGTTTGTCACGTAACTAGGAAAACGTTATGGCATACCATTCATGGGCTTAATGGAACGCATGCTGACCATAAGAAATTGCAAATCGATCCCTTTTGTAATGCACCCCAATCATAACGCAGATGGGGATCTGTTTAGTAATCCATACGCACGTGAATTATTTTAAACGAATGCATTTGAGAAAAGTCCCGACTAGCGGCCGCCTTAAATTTGCATCTCGTTCGTGTTGGGGAATTCAGGCACGAAAGAGGTAAAATAGGAGTTATTGGTGTGTCTGGTAAAGGATAATACAATAATCGTTTGCCCACGAGCGTTCCGGCTTGTTATTTATTAATAGGAGGTGTCTGTAAACCCGGAACGATGTCTCCCCGGTGAACAGTATAAAATCTTCCCACCACGTCTTGGCCAGTAACATTATACGTTTGTATATTTCGTTAAAGTAGGACTGTCTGCGCAGAAATGCTCAGAATTAAGATAGAAAATGAATGGATTTGACCAGCGTTTGCGTCATTTTCTGAAAAGGCCCGTTAACATCGAAATACTAGAGAGAAATGGTTGTGTTCTCTCAAATTTCATCAACCGTAGACTTTCCTTTTGGAATCCCAGTTAGTTGGCCGATGTTTCATTGACGTAACGAAAGAGAGGACAATAGAGTCCATCTGGGGTAAAAACTTGCTCCAAAATCACGTCAAGCGAAAACTTACTTTCCACAAGTCTCTTCTTTTGACGGTATTGCAACATCTGGTTGAACAACCAGCGAACGTCAGACGAACATATAAGGCATTCTAGGCTATTTTCAGGGAGCCGTCGGGATCGACCTCTGCAGTGCCGCAGTATATACATTTTCCCTCCAACGACTGTCTTTATTCAGATGAGCGTAGCCGGCTAAGACGGCAATGGTCATTTTTAGCTCATTAAGCCCAAGTGTTACACAACTCGAGGCTTGAACTATTTGTCAGAGGTCCAACACTGTCCTCAGAAATGAAATACGATCACGTTTTATAGAGCATAGCCTGGCCAGCACACTGTCAGCCCTGCGGACCCCCAACCTCGGTCGCAGTTAAAATGTATTTCTACACACAGGAATGGACGAACAACGATATATTGTCTCCCCAACGCGAACAAGCTCCGTGTGGGTGGTAAAAGTCATGGACTGAAAACAACCACTTTAAACTCAGACAAGTTATGATCGAGGGAATAACAATAAAAATGTTTCGGGGTTGGTTTCTCTTCCTTCGGTGGTCAGAGTTACTGATGACCGACTGAAGGCAGAAGAATTGAGAAGCAATTCTCTGTGACTTTATCTGCAACTATGTCGACAAACCCTCTAAGTCTCCGATGCGCCAAGTGAAATTTCAGCAATTCGAAAGACACACAGACAATTTATCATGTATCGAGTATGTGCATTTGTTAATATTTTTAGTATTCATCAGGTTTATATACACCCAATGTGTCTCGCACTGTGGGCTTGAAGGTTTGATTGCAGAAGAGATTCCCTATTTCAGAAGGAGGCGATTTCATTGCTAATTTATAATACCCGATTATGCTTTGGATTTGCAGCATAGATTGCTTTTATTGTACGCTTTTTGCTTGCTTTATAATGTTCAGTACGCGAACAAACAAGCATCCAGAATAACCCTTAACTTTAGCGCTCTTTGATCGATGTGCATCTTCTATTTTACCCAAATCCGCTCTGCCGCATGCTAGTAACCCCGGGGCCTGGTTCCGTCCGACATTTCTAACGTCGATTTTGACAGTGTTCACCGTATGCTTCCCAATTGGATGGTGCAGGGACGGTGACTTGCGCTGGATTTTAATGAAAGTACATTTCCGATTAATCTATCTCACTCTCTCCCACCTGCGCTCAATGTCAAAACAAAGTCAAGAAAACCGGAGATGGAG